TGTGTGAGCATGCCTTTGCTCGAAATGTGGGAGTAATAAGTGGTGTGTTGATGTGGTCGTAACTTTGGTTTTTCAATGGACGGATTCATATTTTCCATCAGCGTTTTAAAATCTCGAAGATATGATAACAGTGATACAAGTATTGGCAATACTTGAAAAGATACTACAAGTAATACTTTCTATATTTTCTCAAGTCGATCCGGATAATCCAGATTGCGAAGGCAGTTGTGTCCGTGCGATCTCAGATCGAAGGATCCCGCTACGGGTATGGATGAATTTGTGATTGTACCTTCACCCTTCATCATCCTATTATATACTCCATTAAAGAAGGATTAATAATTCCCTACGTGAGTAGGAGGCCCTTGCCCTTAATAGGATGTGCAGTTGGCTAATTATAAAAATTAAAAAACCACGTACTCCGTGCCTTTCCAAGGCCGTTTTCTGGAGGAAGCAAAGAGTATGTCCTTTGCTGACGTCAAAACATTTCGCTCTCTGTATAGAAATGGCAAGCAATCAACCCATATTCTTAGAATAACTACACTTGTATATTTTTCGTACAGTGTAATCTTTGCTTACATATAGTTCGTTAATCTGTTTCTGTATTGGCGTGCTGCATTACAAACGAATTCTTTGCTAATTCCGCGAGTGACGAGGAAATGCAATTTTTGTCTCTGTTTCACAATGGAATAGTAAAACAAGTACGTTAATCGCAAAGTAATCAAACTCATACCTCGAATGAATGGATAATAAATTTGGTATTTTATTAATTAAATATTTATGTTATCACATTAATAGATGTCATTTTTGTAATAATTAATCATTAATATTCTTAAACGAAATAGATTTAAATATAGTATGAGAAGTCATTGCTCTTTTAAGAATGCCATTACAATTACAAAAAACCGATGGACTTTTCTAGCTGTCCCATACTAAAATGTAGTACAATAACCTAGATGAATCTGTATCATAATAAATTAATAATTTGTAATATAAATGATTAATTCTAGATTGTTAAATGCATTCAATTGCCGACGTAGATGACCGAGGTGGTTAAGAGCATGTACCGACTCAGTGTCTCCGTGCAAAGGATCCTTGTTGGTTGCTTGTGTCTAGTCTCTCAAGTATATATTTTCGCAGAGAGCCTCGCGTTGTGCTGACCCCAGTTCAAAAAAGCTCGCAATGCGTGTTGGTGTCTGGAATATGGTCAAATAATATCGTAATAGTATCGAATATATTCTAAAAGGTAAACGGCTGACGGCTGAAAAAAAAACTAGCAAAAAAAAAAGATTTCACTTGCATAGTGTCTCCAGGTCGAGATTACTTAACGTATGCTCAGCTGGGGGCTTTTTTGAACAGCGAAAGCAAGGTCGCACTTCCGCATGCAGAAATATGATTTTTGTTAGCGCATGCAGGTTCAGCCGTGACTTCTGAGGGAATATGTATTGCATTTTTCTACAGTTTCTTTCTGCATATTAACAATATTTATATAATTGCATTACTCTAGTAGATAATTTTCAAAAATATATACTTCAATTTAAAAAACCAAATGTGTATCCATAACTCCAAAATTGAATATATTACAAACAAGAAAACAACATTTGTTATTTCTCTATTTTTTACAAGCTCTTCGCGCAGACCGCATCTCGATTTCCGGTTTTGAAGAGATTTGCCGTGGCCAACGGTCTCATGTTGAGTCTTTGTGTCTCATGCTTAATGATGTCCATCTTCATCCTTGTCTTTCAGTTGTCAACAGAAATGTCTGTAGTGGCAGAAATGTTTTTGGTGTCTCATATAGTGGAAAAAATGTCCATTGAAACTGATCATTTGGGATACATTTGAAATTCATTTACTGAACAATTATTAAATCATTGTAAGACATAGCATTGTCATTTATTTCTTAGTGAAAAAACACCCGATTTTCAGAGATGACACAAGACTCGCAAAATTGCATGGTAGTTACGGTAAATAGTAAAAACGTGTTAATTGAATTGCATGTATTCTATTCCAACTAATTTTATTCCCCCTCTTTCACTTGATAAAAAGTAAATTGATAAGTTTTACTTAATATTTGTAAATTGCTTCTTATCTGCTCTAAAAGCGTTTTTACTGGATAATATTGGCAAATTCTCCATAATAATTGTTAAATGCATTTTGAGACCTGTTAGAAAGGAAAATAGTATTTTTTAAACATTTTGTTGTGTTAATTATAGATTTATGTAGCTGTTAAATTATATCTCTGCGCAGTCGTACATATTGATAAATTCAAGTTTCAGTCTTTCTTTCTTTCAGTCACTCTTTCCAATTCAGTGGGAAAAATAACAGAAATGTGTTTTACGTATAGAAATTGTATGTAGAACATACAGTATATTCTGATTTTTTTCTTCATACGTTCTTCTCCCATCTCAGACTTAAATGTAATTGGTTGTTTTATATAGCTATAAATAAACAATAAATTCAACATTGAATAAACAATGCGAACATAAAAAAATTCATACTTGTAAAGCACAAACTGAAAGTTAAGTGCTTATCATGTGCTTTCTTGTGCAACAAACGCGAAGTTCACATCGGTGTAATTTCACAGACTTTTTTTTCGGCAAGTATTGTGAACACCTACAAGACAATCGCAAAACCTTTAAATTATCAGGTCGATGACACAAATAGAAACGATTTGTTAGGTCGAGACTAGAAATGTTTTTAACCTTAACCCTTTAGAATAGTTATTATTCCAGACCTGATAAAGTGTGACTAACAGATTTTGCCATCGGTCTGTTCTTTCCATTGAATTAACCAAGACCAAAGGAGAGAGAAAAAATCGTCTGAGTACTGGTATATTTCGACGTTCTAAATTGTAATAGTTAGGGGCTCAAAGCGTGGAAATATTACCTTTTATGGTAGCTTAATTCTGATTTCGAAAAGCAAATATGAAAAACAAATATGAAAGCAAAGCGTTGTGCAATTGCAAGTGAGGAAAACGGATTTTATTTGACCTGCATGAACTCTAATGTTTATTTTAAATTTGAAAATAAATTAGCAAAATATACTTGAAAACATAAAACCTCGGTACAGTGGGTACAGTTTACTGCTTTTTAATTTCATTATTTTTCTTTTACTGAGTCCTATTATTCATTAAACAGACCATTGGGATATACATAATAATTTATGCTGTATATGCTTGCTTAATGCGGATAAAAATGATAATAGAGAATTTCTTTACAAACTAATCTGCATGAAATTTTGAAATAATATTTACTTGTGAAACATTACAAAACATTTGATTTTTTCAGGCTATATATTAATAAAGGATAATGACGAAACAAATTTTTGCATGTAAAAATTTTTGGAGAGAAAGGTAATATATATTTAACGTGCGAAAATAATTCTTCTCATTCCAGGTGAGTCCACGAGCTCGATTGCTGGATCCCCAGAATTGGGTTTCTGCTGCCGGAGTACGAGTAAGTTGATGAACGTTGCAACGTTTTCACATTTAGCATGGCATGAAATATTCATCACCTGAGACGAGGTAGTTTTTATGTGACGTCACCGAGTCGGCAGACAGAGCGCTTCCAAAGTTTCGTGATTAAAATTTCATCGCTAACTTTTTCCTGAACGAAACGCTAACGAAGGAGGAGTGACATGCTATGCAAATGCATTTGTCCGTGAATGTAATGGATCCGTGGCCTTATAATGAAAAATAATAGTAGTCGTATGTTCCCTAGTTACATTTTCATAGTGTATGAAGTGAACATCATTTAAAAGTAAGAAGTTTCAGTGTTATTAATAGGGAGAAGATTTATTTATTTTCTAATTTTTTGTCTGTTGCTTCGACATAATTAACCGAAATTACTTGGCATTTGGTTAGAATTAGATGCTATGTATATTTTTGTTAGTGCATATTTGTGCATATTTTGCCGATGTTTCCCGTTGATGCATATTCGTGTAATTATAAGAGCATATTTTGCATATTTCGTTAATACAGAGACTTATCTCTCAAACAGGTAATGTTTTCGTGTAAACCCTCTATTTGTGAGTGTTCTTTAATTTTAATGAGCTTGTCACAGTTTGAGTTTTTTCTCTTCAATAGATAAAATACTTGTGCAAATGTAGGATATTTCTTGATGCATTTTTTAAACCGGAGAGAAAAATGAAACCAAACATACAACGTACTCCACTAAGGTGCATATTTACTTCAATTATTTCTCCCGCAAAAAAACTCTATTTTCTTTAGTTTTGCAAAAAAATATCTTTTCATTCCAAGCAAGCTTCTCCTGAATTTTATCAAGAAAGGTTTACAGTAAATGAAAAAATGTTAATTTTAACTGCTTATTAAAGTGTATATTTCAGAGTTTTGGGTCATAAATACATATTTTTAAAAGCATATTTCAAGATTTTTTAGGGTATAAATATCCCCTCCCCAGTTATTAACATTCAGCGCAGGTTGAGCGGTGTCGTTCATTTACGCACTCAAATAAAAGTGAGTTTAAAGCTGAAACTAACCGTTGTTAGAGAGCAAGATGAGAACGACATTCGTTTTCATTTTTTGTTTCTTTGTTGTTTTAATTTGAAATTCTCGAGAGAACAGTTCCGTCGAACAAATACTGTTAACATAATGTATTCCTTAAGTAGTTCTGCAAATATTTGACACTATTGACGCACTAGAGTAAGGCACTGTGTAATTTCAGACTTTTATTTTCTAAAGGATGTAGTGCTTGTAAATTCACAACAATGAAGTGATTGTAGATTGAAAATGGTAGTTCACGGATAACTGATGAACAACGATGTACTGACACTATTAGGAAGCATAATTGAAGTAATTATGCGACACAATTATTAGTTCATTGTAATGAAACGTAACATAAATTATATATTTCAACAGATGTAAACTTTTAGGAAATTTTGAAAAGATAAAAATATATACTTCAATTTAATCATACAGTCCTTTGACGTTTAAATAGATGTTACGGAGTCATCCCATCAGAAGCTTAAACGTCACTGTTTAAATCGAAATAAAAGGGTATGATCTGCCAGTGAACACACAATATCACTGCAACTTTCGTTTTTGTCTTTGATAACTCTCAAAGTCGTACTAATGGTATAACAACCGGTGAATACATTTTGTCTTTACTGCGTTACGGAAAAATAATTTTGAAACATTATTTCTAGTCTTTAAAAGCCATACATTAGATGCTTTAATGTATGAAAGATAAATTTTTAATACAAGATTCCTTTTGAAATATTACGAAGTGTTGCATGTCAGCAGAGGCGATTTAAGTTGACTGTGATTCCGATGAAATGTCTTTAGGTGTCTCTGACAAGCAATTACCATAAGCGTTCTATGTTAGTTTTGAAGAGTCTCATATATGTGCATGTCAGTAGAATGGGTGCAAGCTTCATGTTTCGTATACTGCAAGGTATACTGCAAGGTATCGTGTTTGCGAAAGCGCGCTCGCGTAGTCTGCAGGATCTTCCAAGGAGTGACCACGGCGACCCAGTGCTCGTCAACGTGGATTCGCGCGTTCGGACACAATGGACCTTTCACATGCTCAGGTGAAGTTGTAGTTGGTTACTCTGGTGCTTTGTGCCTCAGCCACCAACGCATCTCTGCGGTGCGAGGTCTCTAGATCGCCGTTGCATTTCTAATTGGAAATCGAACCGGTTCAGGGTGACCAGATGCAAGTTCGCTCTAATGATTTTGTAAATACACTTTTTACTCAATTTCCTTTAGGATAGTATATTTGATACCTTTCCTTATCGCTAATCGTAATGAAATAATTATATATGTTGTCATTGCCAACAATAGTATTTATTACAAGAGCAGCTTTCGATGGCTTAGCCATCATCATCAGTAGTCTAGTACAAGAAGAAAAAACAAAACATTACAACGTGAATATTCCATTGATTTTACAACAAAATTATAATAAAGGTTACTAATAATTTACAATTATTTGGAAAATATATTTAAAATTCTAGGAACTGGAAGAAAGAAAAAAAGTTGGGGTAAGTCTGAATAAGTCTGAACCTATAGGCTTCCATTCAACAGGTAAAGAATGGCTCAACTTACATTTCTGTGTTTTTCTGTTTCAAGTTTTACGTGTCCAAATTCTATTTCATTAACTTTCCTTTAGTATTAAATGACTTACCCCCCACTTTTTTCTTTCTTCCAGATCCTAGAATGTTAAATATGTTTTCAAAAAAAATTGTAAATTATTTGTAACCTTTATTATAATTTTGTTGTAAAATCAAAAGAATATTCACGGTTTAATGTTTTGTTTTTCTTCTTGTACTAGACAACTGATGATGATGGCTAAGCCATGGAAAGCTGCTCTTGTAATAAATATTATTGTTGGCAATGACAACGCATATAATTATTTCATTAGAAATGCCAACGATAACGCACCAAAACAACCTATACGCCTTATCTTAATCTATTTTTCGTTTGACTTTCAATTTCCTCTGACTCCGCTTTCTTCATTTCTTTCCGCCCGCTGCAATCTGTTTGTACATGTGGTCTAATCTTCTGACTTCATCTATATGTAATGTATGTATGTATGTATTTGTGACGTACCTGGGAAACACGGTACTGCTCACGGCAAATAAAATGATATAAAGGAACGGGTACATTCTCGTGAATGGGCTTTCCAGGGGTTTGGACGCTGCATTGGAAAATGATGGAAGAAACTCTTTTGTGCATTAAAAGTTTTATGATTGAAACACTCTGTACAAAAATTCTTTTACAATACGCAGTGCGGCAAGGCCTTTAGTGATTCGTGCACAAGTAACGCTACCTTGAGGCTTCGAATGACCACGCGGCTGGCTGGTAGGCCGAGCGGGGCCGGCCGTGGATAACGGCGGCGGCGTGTTCGGCAACTCGTCCGCCGAAGTTTTGTCGGGGAATCGGCTCTCCCTCGGCGGTCGACTACGCTGGCCCCCCAACGCAAGTTTTTGGCCAATGAGCTCGCCGGGGTTCCCCCCCCAGCGCAGTACAGAATATTCACATTTACTAACATGCACAACGCGCAATTACGTCCCGTCGGCAGTTTCGGATCTTCAGCAGTTTCCTTCTCAAATCCACTCGAATGTCGCACGGTGCGGCCGCCCGCTGCAATCAACACCCGGGCGGAACATGGAACGCGTGTCTGTCGGGCCACTCCAAACTCCCAGTAATTAATGTTTTCACTGATCCGGTCCTGGTGGCGGCACGTCACTTCTCCTAATCACCTGATTATCAATTTTATCACCTCTAGATCTCCCACTTAAGGCTCAATCAATTCCAAACTGTTGGTAATATCACTATAAACTTGCTTGAGGCGGCACAGCCCCGTCCGTGTTGCGCTCGCGCCTCTCTGCCATAACTCCCAACGTCACACGCTTCGCCCGTCTACCCCCGATTTGACCGTTGGTGGCAAGCGGCGGCGGCGCGGCGTTACTACGCTGATCGATTTAGTGCTTCTTTTAATTAGAATTAGTTAATCAATTTTGATTGTTACTAAATCAGAAAAACGTTCTTCGTTTTCAGTATGTATGTATGTCTTATATTTCTGTTGTGTGGTGTGTGGTCTGTATGACTGCCTCTCTCTCTTTCTCTCCCCCTCTTTATCGCACTAACTTCTCTCTGTCATCACGCTCTTCTTCATATCTTATACCTTCCTCTTTCCCTATATTCTTTTCTCACAATCTCTACCTCCCTCCCCGCTCTTCCCTCTTTCTCTCCCCCGCTCTCCCCAGTCTCCTACCCCCCTCTCTCATATCTCAATTATCTGTCTTCATATCTTAATTATCTATCCCCGTGTGTTTTCACAATAGATACCTTTTCTGTCATATATTATCTTATATATATATAAATAACCACTTTAAAAAATTACCACTAAAATCGTGTATATATATACGATTTTAGTGGTAATTTTTTTAAAGAATCGTATTTTCTTAATGTTTCATATAATAGACGTAGAGGGACACAAAAGGAGAAAACTCATAACTGCTTTCGCGTTGCCTTCGAGTTTTGGCAGACTTCCAATTGTTCAGAGTTTCTTTCTTTTCCGTGCGGAGAAGTCAGTAACAGTCTTTCAGCAAGAAGTGCTGCCGGGGTTTGTATTTTCGTCGACATCTGCCGCCACAACAGAAGGAACCTACTTTTAAAGCGGATAGCCCTGACGTAAGCTGAATGTTCAACCTGCCACACACGATTGGCTTAGGGATTTTGACGCAGAATGTTTGACTTGTAGAATTAAGAGGTTTCTGACGCTTTGAAGACTTCACACTTGGAATATTAACTCATAGCACAATACGTGGGCTCCCTCACGGTTTAGGTCATTGGTCAGCGTGCTCGCTTTCCATGACGCGACCACGGGTTCGATTCCCGGTCGGGCAAGATTATAGTGTGCGTTTTCCTTGCAATGTTCCTGTGCGACGATGTGAAAACTTACTTTTCAGGTTGAGAAGACCAGAGCACGGCATA